GACAAAAAGTGACTTCCGTCCACTTGTCAAACGTGGACACTACATGGTAAAAGTTCGACTAGCCTCGTCAAGCCTCAAGCAGGGAGTGCGTCGTCATCACCCGGGGAGGAGCGAGACCCTCCCCCGGATGGCCCTCCGGCCGCCGGCACTACGAGGAACCTCCCCAATATGAGGAAGTGAATGAGCTACCTCCTTTGAGGTGCTGACCTGGGCTGGGGGACGGGAAGGAGAAGAGGAGGAAGCAGAGGACGAGGAAGAGGAGGAGGAGGAGGAGGGCGAGAAAGCGGTGGGGAGAGAGAAGGAGGAAGGAGAGGAGGAAAGGATACACTACAATATCACATGCCTTCACGTGCTTAGTGCCAAGCAGGGTGCTCCTATACTGGGGTTGTCTTCTGAGGCACAGGGTCGTTGGGGCGGGAGAGCGCGGGGTGGGGGAGGCTTCAGTCCTCCTGATCAGTAGACATTTTACATTTTCAGGTGTTTCATGCTAGCCGTGAGCACCTTTGTGTAACTACAGTACTGCTGTCGGTACAAGCTTTATCCTGGGGAAGGCGGGGGGGGGGGTCATCATTCACAGAAGATAAATCTATATAACCTGTCGTATCTTGTCCCACGTAAGGCAGTAAAACAAACCAACAGCTGACTCCTTCGACTTCTCCGAGCAGAGGGATTGATCAGCGCTGGTTGACCTGTGCATTCCTGGCCTCAGAGTGCGTGTGCTTGAGCCACGCCACCTTATCTGTCGTGGCCGCCGTTCCTTGGGCGCCGGGCGTCACTCGCTCACCCGTCGCGCTGCTGTCCTTCTCGCGTCACCATCACCACTTTGCTACCTCACTACCCTTAGACATCACTGACAAATAATTCTGAATAATGATGGAGATGCTGTGAACACAACACGTGTGTTGGAGTGTATGAGCGCTGTGTGGAGTGCGTGAGGAGGCGCGGGTCCAGCGTGGTCCAAGCGCTTCTTGAAAAGAGGGCAGCCGGCGGGACGGCCCCCGGCTGCCCAGCTGCTCCTGCTGTGACCGCGCGCCCTGTCCTCTTGACGGTAAGCCAAGCAAAACATACATTTATATATATTGATTCATCTATCATCACGCTCACAAACTCCTTACACCTCACTATTGTAATACAAGGCCAACAAAAATAATGTGTACAAACTTGGTGGAGACTGAATGGACTATATACACAACAAAGCCTAAATAATTAGCCGGAGCCGTAATGGAAATGAAGATGATGAGCTTGTATGACGATGCTGGGTGCCGTGGGCGTCCGTGGGCGGCGTGTGGGCGGGGCGGGCGGCCGGGGTCAGCCCGCCGAAGACGGTGCACACCGCTCAGGCCGCCTAAGGCCCAGGAACCGCTGCATCAGCTGCCGCCGAGAGGGAGTTGGGGGGGGCCACCACGAGGGCGGCCATGAGGAGGCGCTGTGTTAATGGTGGGGCGCGGGGGTTCAGGTGTTGGAGTTGTGGTGGGGCTGCTGGATCTGCTGGAGCGCCTCCTGCGTCGCGTACTGCCGCAGGACGGTGTTCTCGTACTCCAGCTGGTTGATGCGCTCCATCAATTCCGTGATCTTCTCCTTCAGGACCTCCACCTCCTCTCGCACCGCGAACATCAAGTGGGACTTAACCAAATCCTGCAAACAAGACACAACGCCTATTAATATCAACCGAAAACATTACAGACAAATAGAATAATTAATAAAACTATTCATACTATAAATATTGGTATTTGGATCTGAGAATCTACAAAACAGGATCATATGAGCTACATTTAATTCCATTTTCCTTAAACCCTAACGTTCATCCAAGCAACAAATGCTGCATGACCTTCAAATCCTCCAACTGTTTATTTCCCCTACCCCCGCCTCGCCCCCCCCCTCCTAACAAGTCTCTGTCACATACGAAAGACGGATCCTCTACTCCGGGCGTCGGCTCGTGTTTCCTATGAGCGAGAAGCCGGTAAACAACGGGATGGCACGACCAGTAAAACCACCCTGCTCTCTCAAGTGGACGACTCCGGAGTGGACGACACGTATCAAGGTGGAATTATCGAGCCATCGGGAATTCCACCGATTCTACCCACGCGGAAACGGCAAAGGCGAGCAAAGGTGAAAGGGAGAGAAAGGGACGACCCAAAGCACGTACTTTACTGTAGAACCTGCAAGAAGGTGGCCTCAAACGAATAAAAACAAAGGAAAGCCATGGGACAGAGATGGTGAAACAGGGATAGTGGGAGAGAAGGAAGAGAGAGAGGAGGTGACGAGGTGATATAGAGAGGATAGAGGCAAAGTGGTGACGTGAGAGCTGGCAAGACGCCACTGCCAGGGGGCTATTTCCAGCGTCGCCTCGCTCCCACACGGAAAAATTCTACCTCTCTTTTCAACCAACTCGACCGCTTCTTCCCTCATTCCTGCGTTGCATCATCATCAACAAAGATTTCTAAATACCCTAAAGAGACTACATACTCGGGAGAACTTAGGCTTTCCTAGAAGAAGTCCCTCGGTTTCATATCATCTTCTATTTGCCGTGAGATATTACTGCCACATTCCTTGGCCCTGGCCAACTGGCCGCCGCCCAACCAAACACTGAAAAACGTAAGGTTTCTCCCCTCCACAACAAAGATGATAAACAGAGGCAGCTAATAGCAAAAGGGACATGTAATTTACTTCTTTATCCCAAAACAAATCAGTTGAATTCTTGAATACAACGAATCATTACTGGAACCTCAGCAAAAAACAAATATCGCGAGCACCACCGGCGCAGTGAAAAAAAAACTTAATTCACAAAACGTATGGACTACTTCTGCCCCTTAAACCCGCCCCGACCCCTGAACTGACTACGAGATTTCCCCACCCGCGACTCCGGCCATCGAGAGGCCCTGCTTTGTGTGGCCCAAGCCCTCTGCTTGCATAGGGCGGGTTGGCGAGTGCAATGAAGGCTTCCCCTCCCCCTCACTTTGCCTACGTCACTGAGACACGCACACATTTACACACGCACGCGCACACAGATACACACATACAAGCCAGAGGAAAACTTACAAAGTCAGGTACGAAGAACAGGAACTGCTCGTCAGTTAATCTGACGTCATAAACGAAGCTATTTTTTCTGGTTCTGGACTTGGAGCTGCCTTTGCTAGGCGTGGACGATAGGGGCGTGTGGGCGGGGGTGTGAGTTGGCGTAGTCTTGGGCGTGATCATCGGCGACTCCGGCGGCGATAAGGAGTGCGTGGGCGTATAGGTGCTACTGGGATACTCTGTGTTGTTGTTGGTATATTCTGTGTTGTTATTTGTGAATTCTGGGTGGCTGTACTTCTGGTCCGCGTACTCGTGCTGGGTGTACTCGTGCTGCGCGAAGCCAGAGTCGACACAGCTGGAGAACGTGGGCGTCCGGGATATGTCTTGAGTGGGGGTTGCTGGCGGCGTTATGGGCACGCCGCCTCCCATACCCACTGACACATGCGGGTATCCGCAGTGCAAAGCATCCATTTGCATGGTGATGGGCGCCGTGCTGGCGGTTGTAGGGCACAAGTCAAGCAGTGTTGCGGCTGAGGCTCCTCACCAAGCGGCGGGAGCGAGTTTGGGCACTACTGGCACACAGGCACAGACACAAAGGCACGACACTCTCACTAAGGCACTGTAGCGCACCTTAAAGCTTGCTTCACTTTCTACTATATCGAAGATGCACCGAGTCAACAAGGGCGATCCGAATGGTGTTCAAACACCGTAGATTTGTACACTTGTCCTGGCTGTGGAGGTGCGGGAGCGTGGTGCTGACGTTGCCAGTGCGGTGTCGCGGTCTGAACTGACGAGCAGGCGTGCCCGCGCCCCTTATATGTCTCCACGTACACTCGCACACGCGCCACCACTTCACGCCCGTCCGCCCCGCGCACGTACGAACACACACACACATCAACCAACTGGGCTGGCACGTCGCCCACACACACCTGTACGCCTCTGTTTCCTCTTTTCTTGGGACTGGAGAGTCATGTGCCACCTTGGAGACTGGCTGCCGCGGTGCCTTCGCCGCCAGCGCCCTCAGTAAGGCGCGCGACGCCATTCAGCATGCAACACACTTCAGTAAGTACTAGGTTTCATTCATTTCATCCTCGGAAAAAGATAGGCGATGGCTTACTCTCAAAAAACTCACTGGGTTCAGCTCAGACTGCATTTTTTGCGAGCTCACCCATCTCTCTCCTTCCTCGTCCTTTCCTCATGAAGGATGGCTCGGCTGCTGCGTAAGGAGTATTCCTTTCCTGTTTTAGGATACTGGCCATTTCCTTGGGGCGGTGGCCTTGGTATTATACCGCCTCGCGAGCTCGGCCTTGTACCCCGGGTTGGAACAAAGGCTCGCGTGTTGTAGGGCTGTCCCCTCTGCTCCTTGGCCATGCCCGCCCGCGACGCCCAGCGCTGCGACTCCCATACACACACCTTCCACAGACCTACATTCCGTCTGCAATTACAACCTGTCCCGAGCCATGCAATGAATCGATCAATGTCCGTCAGATCGCAGCTCCTCCGCACCCACACCCCATACACGAAGGCCCCGGCGCCTCACGTCCCCATCCCTTCTCACACGCCTCGCGCACTTCCTTGTTCACGCCGCTACTCCGTCAGTACTTCCTTTTAGTCCCTTAGTCATTTCGCGGCCGAACACTTGTGCAACGGGCAACGCTGCATCGCCCTGCTCACACTTGTACCTCCCTTATCAGCACCCTCACTGAAACGTTTACCATCTTTTCTAACAACTCCTCTGTCGGAGATAACTAACCCACGAACTCGTAAAAACACATTGCTGCATTCGGCATAAAGAAAATAAAAAAAAAATACATGAAATAAAATAAAACCATACATTTAATCATGTCTGTTCCTAACCTATTGGTCACGTTGAGTTCGAATGTTCTTTGCTAAGAAAAACGATACAACTAAAGAAGCACTCAAACAAACGCAGATGTTATGATACCAGCGGCCCCTCATCCCCCGACCCATGACATTTCCCGCGACGCCCGAGCAGAACATCTGGCAGTGAGCAGTGGCCGAGGTGCAGCGTTGCGCGGCTTGCAGACTCCGCAGAGTGATGCACGCTGCACATCCCGGTCGCTTGCATGTCAGGCTTCTTTGGCCTCTGTCCTCACGTCTTATCCCCTTCCCATCGAGATGCGCTCATATTGAACAAAACTCCGTGCTATAAAACAATGCTTACGACCTAATTGTGTGGCCTCTAGTTTAAATTCTCATCACCACGATTTTAAAGCTGCTGAGGGAAAATAAACATCCATCAAGAGATTGCTAATGTAAGCGAAGGCACGTCTCTTGTGGGTAAGCAACAGCTGGTTAAAAGAAGACAAGGCAGAACAGATATACAGGGATATTTATACGAGAAACTTATATTCAGGCAGAATTCAGGCGTTGGAGACTTCACGCTTACAATGCAGCCGCGGCCGCCCAGGAGCGTGAGGCCCCATAAGCAGGCCGGCGAGCGCCCTCCTCATTACCCGCGCTCCCACACTTCCTCCTCCACTTCCCTTCAGCAGGGCCCTCGAACCGCACCTCTGCCTCCTCGGGTTACGGACGGACCGAACTCCACGCCGCCCTTGGACTCATTCATGCAGATGCTCCTGGCAAACCGCGCGCGGGAGGGCCCTACGTGTCGTAAGCCTCCCTCGACACACCGAGCGCCGTCGCCCCCAACCCGCTCCGAGCCATCGCGACCGCAAAATAACTCCAACGCCGACATCAAACAACGTCTACAAGGTAAGTTCTCCGCCGATAATCAGACCGTGCGAGAGCCCTCCGTCGCGAAGACTTTATTTCGGAGACAGGTCGCCGCTTCGTCCTCGGCCCCGGAGTCGTGACGTGACGGGCTTTGGGCGAGACGCGCGGATCAAATAGAAGTGTCAAGAGGACGAGGAGAAGAGGGGGGGGGGGGGAGAAGAGAAGAAGGGAGGGAGGGAGAGGGGGGAGGAGAGGGGGAGGAGAGGGAGAGGGAGAGGGAGAGGGAGAGGGAGAGGGAGAGGGAGAGGGAGAGGAGAGGGAGAGGGAGAGGGGGGGGAGAGAGAGAGAGAGAGAGAGAGAGAGAGAGAGAGAGAGAGAGAGAGAGAGAGAGAGAGAGAGAGAGAGAGAGAGAGAGAGAGAGAGAGAGAGAGCAAGAAAACAAGAAAAAAAAGAGAAGGGAAGGAGGGGAAAGAGAGAGGACGAGTGAAAATGAGATTGAGAAAAAAAGAAGAGAGAGAGAAGCACAGAGGCAGAAAGGAGTAAAGAAAACGAGAGCCAGACACAGAGTCGAGCATCTGTCCGTGTGCAACTCTGGGCAGCACTCATCCTCGACAGAGATGCGTGAGGCTGGGCGCGCGTGGGGATCGCCTTGGCCCGGGGATCGCCTCCGAGGCACGTCACGCGGTCTGTCATCATCGCCTTATGGGACCCAACTGAATCCCGGCTCTGCTCGGACGCTCTCGCGCGCTCGCTCTTGTCGCTCTCTTTCTCTCTCTCTGTGTGTGTGTGTGTGTGTGTGTGTGTGTGTGTGTGTGTGTGTGTGTGTGTGTGTGTGTGTGTGTGTGTGTGTGTGTGTGTGTGTGTGTGTGTGTGTGTGTGTATCTTTCATACACTTTCTATCTCCCTCACTCGCAAAAACTAGC